CTCCTTTCCTGTTCTTTCTGTGAACCTTGCAGAATAGTTGGGGGCCGGAGGCTTGTGGCAAGGACAGCAGGAGGAGGCCTTTGCTGGAGCCCAGGTGTGAGGAGGCCATTCCCAGCCTGCAGCCACCCAGCCTGGCTGCTTGCTTCCCTCTTGGCTGCCTTCTGTGGGCTTGCTTTTCCTCCCCCACAGGTCCCGGGGCTTTGGCCCTCTTGTCTCTTCCTTCTCACAGGGAGTCTCCCCCTCCTCCCTGTCTGTAGAGGACTGATCTCTCCAGCCTTCCCTCTCCTCTGCTCCGCAGGATTTTCATAGACCTTCCTGCCCATCACTACGGACAACATTGAAAAGCAGAGGGAGCTACAGTGTTACCGCTGCTCTTGCTCACCTGATCTCTAGCCCTCTGGAAGCCCCATGGGGTTTGCGTTCATTGCTGTAAATTTAGATTCCTATAGCTCCCATGCTGATCCGGACACAATTCTCTCCCCTCCACTCTCTGTGGCCCTTCTGCCACCAGGAAGGGCAAGGCCGGCTCGAGGTTGACTGTAACATCCTAGAACTCCAGCCTCTGCCTCTTCCCGCTTGCTAGTTTTCCAGTTCGAGCCTTCCACTACAGCGGGACCTGCTTCTCTGTCCCTGGAACCTCCCTGTCCTTGTCCAGCTGAAGGCGTTCTTTCCCTTGCTCCCAGGGCTGGTAATAGAGGTGTGCATTAGTACCTGACCCCCCCACCCCAAACCTATAAATGTACTCTTTCCTCCTCAACTTGTTCGCCGCCACCCCAGCCTTGCCTTCACCCTCTGGCTCCTGGGTCTTTCTCAGTCTCCAGGAGCCTAGAAGACAGCAGCTCAGTCCCAGCCAACGCACCACCATCTCAGAGACAGCTCATGCCGAGTGTCAGGAAGTTGGAACAGCTCACCCCTTGCATTTGGAATGCCGATCCAGGGGCCCTACCTCGCTGATCCTGCTGGGTTGGGACAATGCTATGCTTGCTTTGCATTCTGAAGCCTTAGTCAAGTATGTTGTTCGAGAGAAGGGTGGCAGAAGCATCCTGAGACGCTAGAGAGCTAAACATTTGCCGAGGATCATCCACTAAGAGAATCTTTAAAAAAAAAATTATTGAATGTATTGGGGTGACAGTGGTTAATAAAATTAATAGGTTTCTATAACACATCATCTGTATATTGTACTATATTCACCACCCCAAGTCAAGTCTCCTCCTGTCACCACTTATCCCCCGTTTACCCCCTTCTACCTCCCCCCATTCCTCTTTCCCTCTCGTAATCACCATTCTGTTGTCTGTGAAGAGAATCTTAACGAGTGTTGATGGTACAGTCCTGGAAATGGGGGTGATGTGGTGGGGGAATGGACATTTGTTGAGTACCTACTATGAGTAGACACAACGCTGAGTAGGTATTGCAGAGGAGGAAACTGAAGCTCAGAGAGGTAAGGAACTTGCCTGGACTGTAAATACCAGCTTGTTCTGCTGCTTCCTGCCTCCCCTACAGGTGCTTGCTCTGCCCAGAGTGGCGAAGGGCCCTTGGAAGGGCCCAGCCCAGACCTGTGAGGGCCTGGCATCAAGAGAGCATGCTGGTTTTGTTATTGGCTGGCTGTGGATGTCCCTTGTTCCATCGCTGTTCAGCTCAGTTCCTAATAGACGTAGGGTTGGAAAATTTGCTGCAGAAAGCACTGCAAAATGCTGTTAAGTTATTCATCCCAAAGGCAAAATATTCAGAAGGAAAGAGAACTGAGCGGGGAGTCAAGATACCTGGGGTCCATCCTCTCTCTGCCACCAATAAGCTGGTGGACTTGAGCAAACCTTTTCTAGTGGACAAGGCGATCTCTGTGGTCCTATCAAGTTTTATGGGGAAAAAGTAATATGTATTTCCTGAGCACTAGTCACATAAAGTATATATATGCTTATATAGTTTTTACATAGGGGTGGATAAAAGTTAGTTTACAGTTGTAATACAAATAAATAATACAGTAGTTAACAAGTAACAAGAGTAAACTGCTTTATGTACTCACAACTGTAAACCTACATCTGCCCACCCTGTATGTATAGTAACTTCATACAAGGGAACCAGAGGCATGTAAGTCTCTGTAGAGCTTGAGGCATGTGTATAGGGAAAAGCAACTTGGAATGAGAACATGTGAGCTGAGACCTTCAAGGTTCACTAGTCCTTAATTCACAGACGAGGCGAGAAGGCTCAGAAAGAGGCAGGTTCTTGTGCACGGTCATACCAGAGCAGTTGCCGGGGAGCAACCCACCCAAGGCCTGCTGGAACGTGAGCAAAGGAAGGGGGAAGAAATCCCAGTTGCTAGGAGGCAAGCTGATGGGCAACGAAACATGGGGACAGGTTTTGTTTGGGATCTGCACAGCACTAGGACCTGTTGCCATGGGGATGAGAAAGCACCTCGTTCTAAGTACAAAAGGGAGCGCTGGGAACGAGAGTGGAGTGGGCGGGCCTTGCCCTCCGCAGTACCTACAGCCCGTCTGTCCTCCAGGGGAAGACAGAAAAGCTCACAGGTGGCTTCCATCTCCAGGGAAAAGCTATTCAAAGGAGCGTACAGCAACTTACGTAGCTTTGGCGTTCACCCGTCCACTTTGCTGTGAGCGTAAGGCTTCCGTTGGGCAGGCAACCCTGCTCACCTGTGGTGGGGGCACCATCAGCAGCGTCCAGAATGTTATCCCAGGCGGGCCTTCCCAGGGCAGGCCGGGGAGAAATGCCAGAGCTTGAGTCACTCGTTTCCAATCCCTCTTTTCCACTCATGGGAAATGCCCAGAAAAAATGCCCTCGCTGCCGCCTCACCCTATTAGGTGAGCCTGACAGCAGGCACTACTGTCTCAGTGAGGATGGAATACACAGGCCTTAGGTTTCCAATGTCGAGAAGGAGCCGGTTAGGAAAAGTCCTGATAAAACGCTGTGGGCTCAACTGGTAGAGACTTCAGCTTTTCACGTTCTAAGATCAGCGGCAGAAATGGAAAACCTGAACCGTACTAAGATAAAACCAAAGGAGACAAGTCCCTGCATGCCCCAAAGGGGCCATCTCTTTAAGGGGTTCAATCTGATGACATACTGAAAAAGGCACTTTAGCCCTGGCTGGTTTTGCTCAGTGCTTAGAGTGTTGACCTACAGACTGAAGGGTCCTGGGTTCGATTGTGGCCAAGGGCACATACCACGGTTTGCAGGCTCGATCCCTGGCCCCAGTGGTCAGAGTGTGTGGCAGGCAACCAATCGATGTCTCTCTCTCACACATTTCTCACTCTCTCTCTCTCTCTCTCTCTCTCCCTTCCACTCTCTGAAAAGCAATGGAAAAAATATTCTCTGCTGTCGATTAATAAATAAATGATTTAAAAGAAAAAGGCATTTTAGAGAACAAAACCTTTCACATAAAGGCGGCTGTTTCTAGGTGTTAGTGGGGTGAGTTGGGATCTTTCATGTATCCAGGAGCCGGCTTTGATCACTCCACTGGGCAGAGCCACTCTACTCTAGGAGCAAGTGCTGCTGTGTGCACATTCAGCCTCTGCTGGGGGCAGGTTAGCTTGTCACAGGTCAGACGGTACGTCACCTATGTGTCAGCAGTGAACCACCAGAGCCCACTCCAGCAATGAAAAAGCAGTTCCTTTAAAGAAACGCCTGCTAGCTATGCCCATTTTCTCAGGTGTGGAGTTGAGGTTACGTGGCATGCTAATATGTTTAGAAATGGTGATGATGCCTCACCCCTTGTTTTGCTCAAAATAATAATATATAAACAAGTGTGGCATTTAAAACACCAATAAATGTTTATCCAGATAAATACAGTGTTCAAAATGTGTACTAGTTAAGCTTTTTAATAGAAAAGTTTAAAAAGTGGGTTAATTTTCCTCCCAGAACTTGAAATTTATATGGTTGAAGCAGGAATATATTTGGCCACTAAATATGCTAGGAGCGCTTCTTGAGTTCAAACCCTCTCAAATCAAGATTCCATCACGTACCAATGTATTTCTCAAAGCTATTATTTATTCTGTACAAGGTTCCACTGTACATCAGATGTTCTACTCTTGCTTACACAGTAAACACGTGTACACCAGCCCTTTGGCTCAGGCTCACAGGTCTTTCCTGGAGAAGGGTGTCAGGCCAGTTAACTTGGGGTGTTTCTCTGATGCCTCGTCCTGGGAGTACTGGAAAGCTCCAGGCTCCGAGGGGCACAAGCCAGGTCAGCTGTGTGGTGCGAAGAGCTCCATGCAGAGCTCCTTGCCTTGACGCTGAGCAGCTTCACTCCCTGGGTCAGCACGGAAGTTTGCCCAACTACTTAGAGCAAAAATCATGCACATGGGAAAAAATCATTGGGCTGAGGCAAGATGTCTCAAAACACTCAGATGCCAGCTCCCAGGGCAGGACTGAAGACTGATGCCAAGGGGAGCTGAAGGGCAGCATGGGCATCCCTGAGAAACTCAGTCAGGAGGCTCTGAGAAGGTGGGGGTGGGGGAAGGAGGGTCAGGGAGAAAAAGCATGTTAAGAGGGAATAAATTAAAGGTGAGAGAAGCTCTAGGGGTAAGAGGCTTGTGCTATCCTTCAAACAGCTGGGGAGTAGACCAGGGGTGGGTTAGAGGAAGCGGGCAGGAAGACTGTGATGCCTGTAAGAAATATCCTTCTACCTACTTTCCTTTTCATCTCACTGCATGCAGACAAGCCGGGGCGAAGGGCATAACCCCTATCTCCTCCAGCCAGTCTGAACACGGCATGGGGAAAAGGGAAGTGGCGGAGGGATATTTCAGGGAGGGATAGTTACCCCCTGGTCCCCAAATGCTATAAGGCACAATTCTTAGAGGCAAGTAGATTCCATCCAAAACATTAAAAAAAAAGGAAAAAAACAACAAAAACCCTAAAAACAAAAAACCAAAACTTGTTGGATCCCAGGTCTACTGTGGCTGTGCTTGGGGAGAGACAACAGCTACCTAGCACATGGGGCCAGCATTAGAAAAGGTATATCTGAAGAGTTAAAAAACAACTGAACAGCACATCTTAGCTGTGAAGAGGTGTGGAGAGTATCTCCAGTCTGAAAACTTTAGTTAGGGTCATTAAAAAAAACTGGGCTTTTAAAAACCAAAAACAACTTTTTTCAAAGATGTCCCCTGGTCTGCTCCCCTGGAGTTAGCAGCGTTGAGGGCTCTTGGCTCATGGGTGTTCTTCTTGCTTCTTCTGGGCCAGTGAGCAGGGTCGAGGCTCAGGCGCGGCTTCCAGGCAGCAATCCTCCCAGCAGGCTCCAGAGGGCGCTGTCTTCTTGGGAGGAGCGGGGTGGAGTGGGCAGCAGCGGGTGAGGCCCTCCTCCCCACACGCGGCCGTTTGTTACACTCAAGAAAAAACCACAAGCTTAAAAATGCAAACAAGAGAAGCCGAGGGGCACTGTGCTGGCTCTGGTCTCCATGTCCTGCTGATCTTCACTGCCAGGTGTGGCTCAGGACCACCTGGCTCCCGGCTCCAGACCCAGACCAGGCTGCAGCGACTCCTGCTCGGCAGCTTTAGTTTACTTTATTTTTCTCTTATTTGTCAGTTTTTTTGTTTTTTTTTTTGTTTTTTTTTTAAAAAAACTTAGGGTGTGGGGCCACCATGGGGAAGGGAGAAAGGTATGTAGCTCTTTGCTGCTACATACGGGAGGGTGGACTGGCCAATTCGTAGAAGAGCAAATAGGCGTCACTGGTGCGCACTTGGCTGGAGGACATGGGTGTGACACTGTGGAGAGAGCAGGTAGAAGTCAGAGCCCTGGTGAGGGGCTGTCGGGGCAGAGCTGAGTGGCTGAGGGAGGGTGAGGGCCGGTCTCTAATCTCCCTAGTATACACCCAGGGCCAACCTCTTCTGTTGTCTTCTAGAGTCTTCAAGTGGGCAGTAGATGTGTTACATGGCTTTCTGGCTCTGACCTTTTCTGTCCAGTCAAGGCGGAAGCCACACCAATGGGTCAGCACAGGTGTGTGACAGCGGGAGGCCTGTCTGTGATGTCTGTCTCACCTGGAGTCATTGAAAGTGTGCCATTCGCCTGTCGCTGGGCTCCGGCAGTAGGCTGTATAATGGCCGCCCATGGTGGTTCCAGAGTGATTGGACACAGCATACAGGTTGTAAACAGCATGGTCTGAGGAGGAAATACAAGGTTTTCGAGCCCGAGGCACTCCCTCACTCTCCTGCCCCCGCTCCCAGTTTTGAAGGCTCACCCCTGTGCAGCATCCCTGCCCCTTGGCCCCGCCCCCACACCTCAGACACTTGTGCCTTGGGCTCTATGTCCTGCGGAAAATACTCACTGGTGTTTTCTGAAGCAAATTCTCTCAAGTCCAGGTCTCTCAGTGGGAAACTCACAAATGTTGTGAGCTTGCTGGTACGTATCCTGGATTCTGAGAACCGTTTCAGATCTGGAATTGATGTGCATTAAGGACAGACAGTGTGGCAAGAGCAGGTGCACAGCAAAGGGGCTGGGCCCTGAGAGGGGGGCGCCCCTCTGGGAACAACAGCAAATGAGAAAAGAAAGGCTTTTTCCTACTCTGTGGGCCTTCACCTTGGCCCCTTGTCATCAGTCTCTCTCTAATGTCAAGTCTCTGACTTGATGGATCTTAAGGATACGAAGCACCAAAATCTTTGGGAACCTCTGGATGGAGAACTTCTTTATACACCGTTTTCTGGCTCGGCAGCGACAGCATGTCTGAAAGACGTGACAAACAGAACTGGAGAGGAGAGGACTGTGAGCCCAGCACCTCCTAGCTGATCTGCTGGGGGCAGCGTTTTCGCAGGGAGCTCTCTTGGGAGCTGCTGTCAGGAAGGGTGACTTACAGGCTTCTCGTCACCATCAAGCACGTCCTCTTTGGTGAAGAGCCGCATGCAGTCCGTTAAAGTCACCTCAGGATAACCCCGCTGAGAGAAAAGTAATGGCCAGAGGTCAGCAGCACCAAAGGTTACAGTGGGAGTTCCAAAAGTGGGGCAACAGGGGCGCGTACCTTAGCAATGGGCAGTGAGAGGTCCCAGAAGGGATCAAAGACTGTAGAACAGTAACCACAGTCAGTACACGTCAGGGAGCTCTTCAGCTGCCCAACAAAGAGATCTGGGGAGAGGAGAGACGGTGCTTAAATGCAGGAAGCGAGCCCGCAGCTCCACGTCTCCTTTCTCCCTGCTCCCGCCTCAGTCTCTGGACACTGGGCAGAAGAAGGGTTGTCTGGGAGAATGGTTCTTAGTTCTCAGGGCTTTTCACACTCTGCTTAGGCAAAGGCACGTAACGAAAAGCAGGCTCCTACCCCCGATCCGGCTGTCCTCCCGTTCGAGGTATCTCCTCCACATCTGCCGTCCCTTCTCGTCCTCCCTGGGGCCAGAGGGGGACACCGGTCAGAGTTCAAACCACGATAAGTTTAGGGTTCTATCAATCTAATTCTTAACATTCAAAATTCTCCTCTCATTACCCCCAAAGAAGCAGGGAAAAACCTCAAGTTCATAAAGTTTTGCTTCCCACAGGTCTCTCCTCTTACTTACGGCAGATGATCGAGGTTCTCGGGGTTGGACTTAGGCCTCACTGTTACTCGGTTTACCTCATTGTGGAGCCCATCCAGAAGAAAGCGAAGGAACTCCTGAGCATCCTGTTGACTGACCCCAAAGGAAAGAGAGTAAGCAATCCTCTTGTCCCAAGAAACTGCTGTTGCT